AAGATAAAGGCTATTGCCACTAATCTTGGTTGCATTCCAGATCTAGAAGTTAAGATGCTATTGCTGAAGACACTGCATGATGTGAGCATGGGAAAGGGAGAAATCAAGCTAGGACTAAGCTGGAAACTCCCTTCCAGCCTTAAGATGCTATGCAGATCACTGGAGGAGAACTGTCCCCAACAGTTCTACTTAATGATGGACCCCATGTGTTACACTATCAACATTCTAAGCAAGATATGCCTGCCAGTGCAATGGAAGTGGCACACACTACTAGTATATGTGCAACCAACAAATTTCAAATTGGATTTAAGGCCTGCTCTTTGGGGATGGTACTGCAAGCCAGGCCACCCTGCCCCCCATAACAGGGGAAGTTGTAGGCCCCAGTAGGAAAGCTACTGCAACTGTTTTGTTAGATGAATATGTGCCTGCTAAGGTGCCTTCCAAGCATTTGTGTTTACGCTCATAGGTTGTTATTGCTGTCAGTGTCCATGTTTGGATGTTTTTCTGCTTCCTGCTTCTTCCTCCAACTATAAAACAAATGGAAAGGAATACTAACAAGATGGATCAACAGCCATGTCCTGAAAACAGCTAACAAGAGGATCCAAGGGTTCAGTATCTTGCTGCAGTGGGAGGAAAATTGTCCTACATCTATGTCACCCCCTCCAAGACTCAGGGACTCTTATGGAAGAAAATTATGGAAAGAGGGCTGGAGAAATGACTCAGCAGTTAAGAACACTGGCTGTTCTTGCAGAAGACCTGGGATCGAATCCAAGCACCCACATGACAGCTAACAACTGTCAGTAACTCCAGTTCCAGGGGATCTGACAGCCTCTTCTGTCCTCTGTGGGCATTGCATGGCATGGTTGCACTTACATACATGCAGGCAATACACAAATACACATAAAAATAAAAGTAATAAAAAAAAATGATGGAAAGAATGTAAGAGCCAGAAGAGGGAGTGGAGTATTGTATAGGACTGTCCTCTGTTAGACATGATGGAATCAAACTAAAGCCCCCCAGGTTAAAGTGGATTCAAACCAAGTCCCCTAGACCAAAGAAGAATACTCAGAACAAGGAAGTAAGAAGTAAAATAAATAATTCTAACTGCTGAGAAAGAACTAACCTTTTCATGCTCCTTGCACAAGCTGAAAATCACCCGAAACTTCCCCCTCCCACTGCTGCCAGCCCCCTCCCACTGCTGCTGGTTTTGGTTTGTGATTTTTGCCTTTAAAAGTAGACTGTAAGCTGAGCTCGCTGCTGCTGCTCTCTCTCCGAGTGAGGCAGGAGCCCGTCTGCGCAAACGATTAAATCCTCTTGCTTGTTGCATCTCCTATTGGGACTGAGTCACTGGGGTGCGACCTTCTGTGGACGTTGGGTACCCCAGACCGGGGGCCCAACATTCACCAGTACTTAGAGGGCCATTCACAAGCTTTCCATCATCAGCCCTGTTAGGCCCATGTGGCAAACAAGAGAATTAAGATTCTGAGATATTCTATAGCTGTTCACAGATGCTGCAGAATTAAGATTCTGAGATATTCTATAGCTGTTCACAGATGCTGCAGAATTAAGATTCTGAGATATTCTATAGCTGTTCACAGATGCTGCAGAATTAAGATTCTGAGATATTCTATAGCTGTTCACAGATGCTGCAGAATTAAGATTCTGAGATATTCTATAGCTGTTCACAGATGCTGCAGAATTAAGATTCTGAGATATTCTATAGCTGTTCACAGATGCTGCAGAATTAAGATTCTGAGATATTCTATAGCTGTTCACAGATGCTGCAGCTAATAAGTGGTGGACACTTCAAAGCTCCTGATCTTTAAATCTGTTCCCAGAGCCTGGGGTTCAG